CCATCCAGGTATCGGCCTACATGTAACCATGGACGGTGGTGGTCACCGAGATGCACGACGATGCAGAAGAGTTGGCTCTTTATTGGCCAAGCACATTAGCACGGAGAGCAGGGGCTGATGGGAACACCCTGTGGCTTGGGTCGTAGTTGATGTGTGCGTTGCTCAGTTCAAGGGGAGTAGCGGGCTGTCTTTTAAAATTTCTTTTTTTTTTTTATTGTAGTTTTACCTTCTCAGCATTATTCCTCTTTATTTGTAATTCTAGAATGTGTTTTCCCACAAAAAATATCTTTTTTTTTTCTTTTTTTTCTGTGCAACATTTCATCACTGTGTGCAATATCGTATGTGCCAATGGTGGCAATATATGTATATCAATTAAATATATGATTACTATTTGGAAGCATGTGGCTGAATTCCATGTTTATTTCTCATGAAGGAGTTGTATATGCCTTTATTTGCACTTAAAACTCCATCCTGGAGGATAACTATAGTCAACCAAGATCTTAGCAGCCTGTTGGGTCCAAACACTCTCCGACTGTAGGACCAGGTTCCATGGGTTGTTGAAAGTATAATCTATAAATAAAGTCTTTTTTATTATTATTATTATTGTGAAAAGGAAAACTTAAGAAATCTCCATTTTTAGCTTTAAGCTAAGAAACGGTGCTTCTGTCCAATCCTTATAAGGTGTTCGGTGAACTGTCTCCAGTGGTTGTTGTATGTGTAGCACTTTGCTTTCCCAGGAAACACCTGACCAATACTTGTTTCAAATGATCTCAACAAATAATGTTTTGGTTTGTTTTTTCTCTCTTCTGTTTATGTCAAACTTGGACTTTTTTTTTTTTCATCTGGTTTTGGATGCATCAAATAGAATTTATGTACATTTCAGAAATTTTAAAATAAATTTAATTTTACCCTTCGTGGTGAAAAATAAGAATTCTACATTCACCAAGTATGTGTTTTATTTTTGTTTTGTTTGGGTTTTTTTTAGCGTTTAGCATTTGAAAAATAATCCTCAAACCAAAATGTTGACGTTTCATGAAAGAGAAGTATTTGTTTTAATTTTTATGGAGTGTTGTACGACTTCAAATGTGCAATGGTACTAATTCAAAAGCTTAATTTTACAGCCTCTAAAATGCAAACTTTGCTCCGACCTGTTGAATCATGTCTTCATAGAAACTTTTGCATCAATACTGTATGTATAACAACAGGCTGTAAAATAAAGCATCTCATTGGTCTGTAACCACTGATGTCACTGGTCTGTAGTCTGTGTGTCACTGGTTTTTCTGAGGAGGAATAACAAGGACGTGACTGAAAGAAAATGTGTCGGGTTTTTAAATTTGTCATTTGATCGATTTGAAAAAAAAATATCTGCAGTTTGACATTTCACTGTGGCTGTTGGAAAAAAAAACCCAAAACAATTCTGATGTGATTCTTCATGTTATAACTGTGTTCATAACATGAAAAAAAACAGTGGTTCTCAAAGTAGGGGCTGCAGAGTTATTGCAGGTCAAATGATTTGCCACAGTGTGAGGAATTTAATCATTTAAAATAAACAATAATTAAAATAATAATAAAATGTGACGACTTGACAACAGTTCCATCTACAAAAGGGGGCGCTGCAGGGAAGGTTTCTGAGCCACTGGTGTCATATATGTACATTAATCTTTAGGAGCGAATTACAAAAACCACATTCAAGGAAATATCAAGATGAGAAAAATATATATTTTTAAAATTTCAATAAAAAAATATATTAAACTCACATCAGGAGCCAAACATGATATTATTTCGATATCAAGACTGCGGACTGCAAGTGTTGGAAACCCCTATGGATTACCACCCTGTACTGTTATGATGTA